TTTTTTTTTTTTTTGGGGTGGAACCGGGGATTGAACTCAGGCCCTTGTGCTTGCCAGGGAAGCACTTATTCTACTGAGCCACCTCCCCAGCCCCTTCCATTTCTAAATATTATCATATTGTGGTTTAGGACTTCAACAGATTAATTTTGGAGGCATAAATCAGTCCAGAGCACTTATAATGTACTTGTACTTTAATATATATGTTGGAACAATGTGTTCTTCTACATCTTCCCATTTAAGCAAAAATTATGTCTGCGAATCTTCCCAGATATTAATTGACAATTGCCTTATTTTTGGAAACTAGACATCTAAACCCGCCCATCTTAGGACCTATTCTTTTTCCTTATTTCAGTCGATGTTTCTTAGATATTCTATTTCATTTATTTCTTGTGACTTTGTTTTTGATATTTATTATCTCTTATTTCTTGAAAATTTTATATTATTTATACGTCATATTCACTTTTTCTTCTGTTCAATTGGGTCTTTAGACTTGTTTTTAAATGTACTTGTCTAGAGTTCAAAAACAAACAAAAAATAAGTCTTTATCTCTGTGCGCTTCCCCAATGTCTCCTCCCCTTTCTTTAATTAATTTTTGTAGTGTTGGAACTCTAACCCAGAGCCTCCTGCACGCTTGGCAAGTATTCGACACTGAACTATACAGTGAACCCTGAAAACCTTTATTGATTCCTGTTCCTTCCCCAATTACTTTTTTTAGCTTCTGTTTTCTCAAATTTGTTCTTTGTAGTGGTATTATATGCTCTTCTTTATCTTCAGTCAGTTAAAATTTACTCAGTCATTGTTCTGTTGATGGGCATTTAAATGTTCTCCAGTTTTGTTTTGTAAACAATGTTGTAACAAACATGTTTAGATAAACAACTTTTGTGTATGTTGTATAAATGTTTTGGCAAGACAGGCATTTAGGTGGTCAAAGAATATCCACATTTAAACTTTGGGAGACAATTCCAAGTTGACTTTTGGAATATTAGTGCCACTTTTTCATATCAACAGTATATGAGTTTCTATGTTTTTAATATTGTACATACTAAGTAGTATCAATCTTTTTCATACGTGTAAATTTTAATGGGTAAAAGATTACTTGTTGTTTGTTTATCCTGAAAATATTTGCCTTTGGTTTACATGCTAAATAATTCCACATGTTTATTGATCATTTGACTTTTTTCTTGATGATCTTCCTCTTGTGTTGTGTCGTCAATGTTAGGTTGTCGTGTAACCATTTTTCTTCAGTATAAGGGCTTTTGCTTATAATTTGCACTATAGTATCTCAGTAAGACTGTAAGTTTGACTTGATTTTGGGTTATGATTTCTTTAACTTTGAATGAATTTAAATTATTATAGAGTTAGATTATTTAATACTTTCTTTTGTATCTTTTGGTTTTCATATCATGCCTTGAAAAGCTGAAGATAAATATTTTAATGTTGCATGGTTGGTATGCATATTTTATGGTAGAAATATTTCCATTAGGGTCTAAATGCATTGTATGCAACCACAATTATTCAGTCTGTGTGTACATACTCATTTTGGGTATAATAATATTTTCAATTCTATATAGAATACTTTTCTAAAGTATCATGTAGGGCTTTAGAAATAGCTTGCCATCAATTTAAGTTGCCACACTACTGGATCTCAATTTCTTTTTTAAAGGATAAGTTTAATAGTATCAATTTAATGATTCTTATGAAAGTTAAATGAGACAGCAATGTAAATTATAATCATTTCCATTAATTCATTGTTTACCAAGTGCCAGTCAAACATATAGTATGTTGGTTCATTTGCTCTTTAAAACAGTGCTGTGAGGCAGGTGTTATGTACTGAGAGTATTAAAGAGAAAATGGATTCAGTGAGTTTAATAATTTGTCTAGAGTCTCAGAAAAGAGTAGCAAAGCCAAAATGTGAACATAGGCTTGCCTGAAAACCGAAAACATGGTCTTTCCATTATATATTTCTGGAATGTGACGATTATATCTTTTATCTTTGTCTTCTTTTATTCCATTTAGTACTTGGTTTCCATTTGTCTTTTTCTATTTGAAGAAATAAGACTCCAGACAAGACTGCCCAAGAGTACTGTGAATATTGAAATGTTCTTTTCTGTGCTTAGCACATATTTCTGTTTAGCACTTAAGACATGGCTATTGCTACTGAGGCTATTGTATGTATCTCTTATTTTGGATATCATAACCTTAGATTTGTGAATGTTTTTTTAAAATATGTGTAAAGTCAACATAATCAGTGTGTTGATTGATAATTATGAAATTGTTTATTTTAGGTTAAAAAATTTAGCAGAAGAACTTATGCAGACACAGCAGATGCTTTTAAATAAAGAGGAGGCTGTCCTGGAGCTAGAGAAGAGAATCGAAGAATCTTCTAAGTCCTGTATAAATAAGTCTGAGTGAGTAAAGAAAAAAAATTTTAGGTAGAAAGTTTAGTTGATACAGTTTTAGAAATAAATTAGCTACATACCTAACAGAAATATGTTAGCTACATGATATTATAACATTTCTGGAAATGGAAATTTTGACGTTTAAAATTTTGGGTAGTTATTTTTTAGGATCCTATGATATTAACTTTATGTTTGTAAATATGGTTTACTGATTTTATGTCTCAGTGTTTATTTTTTGTTTTTTGTATTTTAGGGAAGGGTCTGCAGGATGTTCAGGGTCTCACTACTAGATTGAACTTGTGGTGATCTGCCTGTTTACAGCCTCCCAAGTGATGAGATTATAGGTGCATTCCACCACGCTGAGTTTCATTTGCCATCTCAGCTGGCCTGGGGATCGAACTTCCAGCCCCTGCATCTGCTTGCAGGCACTTTAATCCGCTGAGCTATTTGGCCAGCCCCCTGTCTCAATGTTTAAAACAGTTTGAAGTATTTTCTGAAGATTATTTTGTTAAAAGCTGTCTTTATTTTCCCACATCCATTTTTACCAGAAGCACTGTACATTTCTTTAAAAAGTACAAACCAGTATTATGTTAGCAATTAGCTTTACTCTGTTAGAAGGGAACAAACAAGCCAATTAGCAAATAGTAATCTGCTTTACATATAAAAGTGTCCTTTAAGATTTCCTGTGTTGATTTTTTTTTTTTTTTTTTTTAACTATGTGTGTCTGA